TAGAGAGAGAAGATGGGAGGGGAGGGGAGGGGGGATAGTAGAGGATAGGAAAGGTAGCAGAATACAACAGTTAGTAATATGGCATTATGTAAAAATGTGGATGTGTAACTGATGTGATTCTGCAATCTGTATTTGGGGTAAAAATGGGAATTCATAACCCACTTGAATCTAATGTATGAAATATGATATGTCAAGAGCTTTGTAATGTTTTGAACAACCAATTAAAATGCATTCTACAGTCACATATAACTAATTAGAACAAATAAAAATAAAGAATGCATCACAGAATCTTCAGCCCCACAGCTGAGGAAAGATCTGACAGAGTTCAAAAGGCAGAAAGACATCATCCAATCTGCCAGGCTTATTTGTGATTTTATAGCTTCCAGTTGATTAAATGAGAAATAAATATTTAAATTGACAATTATCTTTCAATTTAGAGTGTAATGAAAAATAGTATCAGTTTTGAAGAGACTCGACAAAAGAATTAAAATGAGATGCGAGGTATTCAAAATTCCTTAATTACAACAAAAAAGTATTAAATATACACATGTTAACATATTGGATTTCATGACAGTAAAAAAAAAACTTTTCATATATAGACATCTTAAAGGGAACAAACCAAACATATACTTAAAGTAAATATTTTCAAGACAAACATCTGACAAAACATCTGTCTATAAAGAGCTCCTATAAATCAATGCTGATATTACAAGCCCTCTTGAAAATGGGCAAAACACTTGAGCAGGACATTTCAAAAAGAAGGTATCTAAATGACCAATATGAAATGATGCCCACTGTTATTGCCCATCAGATAAATATCAAAATAAAACAATACTCTGCTATTATTACTGCATGCCCACAAGGGGAGTCAATAGTTAAAACAGGACATTGCTATAGATGTGTCTAGAACTGTATTATATGCTAGGAAGACTATAAACTTAAAATTTTCCCTTTTGGAAAGCTACTGACAAGATCTATTGATGTTAGGTGTTAAAATTTAAAAAGATAGTTACGTCTGGGAAATATATTGATTAAAAAGAATCAATGGAAACATTCTGGTATATGGCATGCTTGCTGAAGTAGTAGAGGCATACAGTTCTGCCCTCACTGTTCATGGCAGAAGTTTTCTAACCTCACCTCCAGGGGATGCCTAAACTTATTAAGATAGCAGCAAACTCTATTTCTCCCATGCATATGTACTCAAGACAAAATTTATTTGACATACTGGATGCAATATTAAAAACTAATAATTAAATAGAACATTTATCACAGTATATTGTAATAAAAGTCTTGTGAATGTAAAGTCTCTGAAAATGTTTTGTGTGATTAGCTTCTTATCATGGTGATATGAGGTGACACAGTGCCTACATGATGGAATGAGGTGAGGTGATGCTGGCATTGTGATGTATTAGCATTGGCTACTTAAGAGTTGCTTGAACACAAACTCGGCTACCAGGACAGTTGCTCTGGTAACTGAGATGGCTAAACCATAAGCCCTTAAATAAACTTTTCCTCCTCTACAATTGTGCTGGTCCAGTCATTTTAGTCATAGCAGTGTGAAAGCTCATTAAAACAAACACCATGTTTGACTGTAGGCAACTAAAAGTGTAGAGAATGAAACTGCAGATGAAGGGAGCAGCTTTCTCACTGCTGTGATTAAAAGTCCCAAAAAGGACAATTTTAGAGGAGGAAAAGTTAATTTTGGGACTCACTGTTGCAGAAGTCTCAGTCCATAGCAACCAGCTCCAATTCCTCGGGATTCAAGGTGAGGCAGAACATCATGCTGGAAGACTATGGCAGAGGAAAGTGGCTCACATGATGATTAGGTAAGAGAGAGAGAGAGAGAGAGAGAGAGAGAGAGAGAGAGAGAGAGAGAGAGAGAGAGAAAGAAAATCCACTTGCCAATTACAAAATAAACAGCCAAAGGCATGTCCCCAAGGACCCACCTCCTCCAGCCACACTTTACCCACCTTCAGCTATAGCTCAGCTAATCCAATCAAGGGATCAATTTGCTAATTGGGTTGAGAGTTTCATGATCCAATCATTTCATTTCTAAACCTCTTGCACTATCTCACACACGAGCTTAGGGGAATCCTTCACATTCACACCATACCATTTCATACTACAAAAAATCATCAAATGTTACACTTAAATTTATATAATGATATACTCCATTATCCTGCATGTATTATGTTTCCAATAAAATAACAATTGTAAATGAAATAAAGGTTATATATTCTTCTAAAATCAAAAATCTCTTGATCTCATCTCTTCTTAAAATCCTATTGGTTGGATGCATTCAGCAAATTTCCAAACCTGTGTGGGGCATAATGCTCACATTTAAAGACTTTGGAATTCACTCATCTATGCAACACTTACTTATGGTGTTGTCACAGCATAACAGTTATTGTAGAGACGTAAACCCATCTAGTCCTGAAAATACACCATTGAAAATCAGATTTAGGACAAAACTTATTTGTCTTTCATTTGTAGGAAAAAGAAAATTAACAGAATTTGAAAGGTTTAAGGTTAAAGTTACAGTCACAACTGAGGGAGCTTAACCATGCTAGAGGTCAGTTTTGACTGTAGTTCACAACTTCTTCGTGCCAGATTATGGACTTTTCCCTTCAGCTCTTCTTTTCTACCCTTATCTTTTAATATTATTTCGGAATCCTGTGGATATTTTAATGCACTTTGGAGATCCTAATGTTAATGATATCTATTGAATATAAAAGAGTCCTGGGTTTAAATTTTCATTTTATATATAATATCTAAATACTCATTGAATGGGTAATTGATATTGCCTGAAAAAAATAATAAAAAAGGACACAATAGGCAAAGAGAACAAGAGCAAGACCTTATGGTGAAAGTGAAGATACAAAATGAAGCAGGAGAAAACAGGTTATTTATGTCTTATTAATGTATTGATGGGCTCTAATCTTGCTAAGTAAAATAAGCCAGACTCAGAAACATTAAGGGTCAAATGTTTCCTTGATATGTGGAAGCTAAAACAAAATAAGAACAAAAAAAGGGAGCAGATTCCATGAAAATTGAATAGAAGAGAGATCAGTGGAGTATAGGAAGGGGCATGAGGGAGAAGACGGAAGGAAGAGAAAAGGGAGGAGCGTTGTAATGA